ACAGCACTGACACTGCAGGACACACACACAGCCAGGTGTGCAGACACAGCACTGACACTGCAGGACACACACACAGCCAGGTGTGGAGGCACAGCACTGACACTGCAGGACACACAGAGCCAGCTGTGCAGACACAGCACTGACACTGCAGGACACACACACAGCCAGGTGTGGAGACAGCACTGACACTGCAGGACAGACACACAGCCAGGTGTGGAGACAGCACTGACACTGCAGGACACACACACAGCCAGGTGTGCAGACAGCACTGACACTGCAGGACACACACACAGCCAGGTGTGGAGGCACAGCACTGACACTGCAGGACACACAGCCAGGTGTGCAGACACAGCACTGACACTGCAGGACACACACACAGCCAGGCCACCGGGCCCCGCTGCCTGGCACACACAGGAGACAGGAGTGACAATTGGGCTGTGGCCTGGCATGGCACAGCAGCCCTGTCCATCACATCCAGGAGAAATCCCCACCAAAAAGGGAATTCCATGTGTTTCTGTGTGTATGGATTCTCCTTCCCCAGCCATGACACTCCCCCTGGGGAGTCACCTGAGCCTTACACCTAATGGCAAAGCTCAGGTGCCTTGGGCTGAGCACAGCCTGGAAAGGAGCACAGGAGAGCACAGCCTGCTGCTTCACCCAGGATAGGAAATGATTGAGGTGAACCTGGCCCTGGTGCCAGGGTGAGGAGAGGCTGCCCACAGTGCCCACATACCTCCAGCATCCACCAGCCACCTGCTGGTGTTGCCCTTGGTGTCGGAGTTCTGCAGCAGGGCCACGATCTGTCCCCTCAGCAAGGTCAGGTCCAGCTCTCTGCTGCCACTGACGTTGCTGGTCACTTGGTACAGCTTGTCTGGGCCGTGCTTGCTCACAAGGGAAAGGACCTTCCTCTCCTCAGCTGGGGTCAGAGCCTGGTGGGGAGAGGAGACACAGGAGCACTCCATGAGACCCCCACTCCTGCTCTCCTTCTGCAGGATCACATCCCAGGTTAACAGCAGAACCTCCTTCACACCCCCAGGTTTGGAGATGGGAGCCCAGAACCAGCAGAGCTGAGCTCCTCCATCCCTGCTTATCCCAGCTCTCAGGGCTTGGGGGAATCCTGTGGCACCCCTGGGCCCATCCTGGGCCAGCCTCCCCACCAAGGGCATTTCCTGCCCTGGGGAGCCACAGCCCAATGTCTCTGTACCCGCTGGCCTGAGCCCTGCCCTGCCCTGCCCCTACCTGTGTGCCAGGGCTGGGTGCCACCGTCTCAAAGGCCTGGCAGAAGGCACGGAGCTGGGCACCCGACTGCTGCAGGCTGTCCTCCACCACCTTCCAGAAGCTGGGCAGGGCCATGTGCCCATGGGGCAGCTGTGGAGACAGGCTGGGGTCAGGGAGAGCCCTGACAGAGCTCTGGGGAGAGGCAGGAGGAGGAAAAGGGGTGAGGAAGCAAGAGAGCAGACCTGGCCACTAAATTCACCTTGCACGGGGGATCAGTGTGCTCCTCTCTGGCTCTGAGCTGCCCCTTGTTCTGCTCCTGCTCCTGGCCCAGGCCAGGGCTGTGCTCCCCCCCAGGGCTTCCGACAGCCCTCCCTCCCCGTATTTACAAACATCAGAGAGGAGTTTTGAGCAGTGAGGAGTTCTGGGAGACATCTCCCAGGGCATGGGGCTGGGGGAGGCTGTTCCCAGCCCAGGAGCTGCCTTTCTCCTCCCTGCCTTGCTGGTACAGGGCTCTCAGGAGCTCTGAGCTCACACTGACCTCTCAGACAGCAGCACATCAATAAATTACCAGCAGTGTCCACAAACAGAGAGCAGGACAGTGTCTGCCAGTGCAGAAGAGAAAATCTGGCTTTTTCTGGGCAGGAAGGAAGGGACATCCTTACAAATGCTCCACAGGGAGCTGTGTGTCTGCAAGGGCAGGTGGGCCACAGCAAACCTTCAGTGCCCTGATGTCTGAGAGATCTCCCAAAGCTGGAGAAGGCAGTTCCAGCTCAGCCCCTGTGCCTGAGGGGCCCCACTCACCTGCTCCAGCTCCTTTTCTGCGTGGTGCAGGACCTGGGCAGCCAAGTCCAGCTGCAGGGCGCTGAAGGAGCGCAGGATCTGCCCCAGGAGCTGCACAGCCACCTGGTTGAACTGGGGCAGCTCGGCCACCAGCAGGTCATTGATGGCCAGGTAGGTGTTCATGGCAGCCTCCTCATCGTAGCTCACGCTGCCCATCTCGCTCTTCCTCTCCTGGATCTCCTCGTAGTCCAGCAGCTTGTCCAGGCGCTTCTTGACCAGCTGCTGGGGCCCCTCCAGCATGTCTGCCAGGCTGCAGAGGGGCTGCCACACCAGCCTGCCCACACGCTGCTTCTGCCAGGGCACAACCCCAAATCCCAGGTGAGCCCCCAGGCAGGAGCAGCTGCCAGCACAGGGGCAGGGGCCTGGGGGTCTGTGGGGAATGGGGAGCACCTGGGACATATTTCCCTGAGGCCTCACAGGATGCCTGTCGCAGACATCTTTTCAAGATAATCCTTTCTTTAGGATTTTTCCCTCCTGAGAAGCTGAGAGGCCTCAGGAACAAAATGCAAACAATGGTTGTCTGCTGCTGTGGAATGCAACAGGTGCATCTGGGATTGGCCTATGTTGGATGTTTCTAATTAATAGCCAGTCAAAGCCCAGCTGGCTCAGACAGAGTCCGAGACAGCTGCCTTTTGTTATCATTCTTTCTTTTTCTATTCTATTCTTAGCTAGCCTCCTGAAGAGAACCTTTTCTTCTATTCTTTTAGTATAGTTTTAATGTAATATATATCATAAAATAATAAATCAGCTTTCTGAAACCTGGAGTCAGATCCTCGTCTCTTCCCTCAACACAAGACCCCTGTGAGCACGGTCACAGATGCCAACCAACACAAACCCTTGGGAGGGAGCCTGACACAATTCCAAACTTGTGCTCCATGGAAACAGCTGGGCAGGACCCTGCAATGGCTCAGAGCAGTCCCAGCTGGGTCTCTGCCCACACCCCTGCCCTGAGCCCATTTAACCAGAGCACCTGCCTTGGGGTGCTCTGGTCTCCTCCCCATGTCCCCGGAGGCACATCAGGCTCACAATGCAGCCCATCCCAGCCTGGCTGTGCTCCTGCTGTGTCCCTGTCCCTGCCCTCCCTTGTCCCCTGGAGCTGCTCCCTCCCTCCCTGTGCCAGCACTGCAGATGGATCCTGTTACTCCCTGCTGGCTCTGCCTGCCCAGCTGGGCTCTGGGGCACTCTGAGGTGCCCCCAGTGCGCCCTGGCAGAGGGTGGGAGAGCTGCAGGAGGTGTGCAGGGCAGGGGCACTCACAAACTCGGGGAACACGGCGCTCTGCAGGAGCTGGGAGAGGCGGCGGTGCTGCTGGGCAGGTCCCTGCTCCATCTGCAGGTCACACAGGTGCGGGCTGGGCAGCAGGAACGCCTGCAAGGGAGGCAGCACCACACTCCTTGAGCTCCTTCCCGATAATCCTGCGTGGGCAGCCCTTGCCAATCTTTCCTGCAAGGTCTTTCCAGCCCAGGAATTGCTGCTGAACCCTGGGCCGCTCCCCGAGGCTTTCCTGATAATGCAGTGTCTGGGGATTGCATGTTTTGCCAGCACTCAGAGTTTCATTTTCCTCAGATGCCCCGAGGGATTTCCATGAGGAAATCGTAGCAGCTGCTGACCCAGGTGATTTCAGAAGGGCAATTTGTTGTCAGTACTGATCTGGGGACATTTCTGCCTTGCACACATTATTAAAGTGAGAATTCCCAGGCTGAACAACACCCGGCCTTTTCAATCATTTCAGACCTTGAAATAATGATAAGTTTAAGGACGGATTATTCTCAACTGACACCAGCTCAGACAGTGTTGTCAAAGCCTCAGCTTTGGTTTAAACTCCCCTGGACCTGAGCAATCCTTGGGTGTTGTGCAAGTCCCTGACACAACAGCTCAGCTGCAAATCCCTGAACACCCCCAACAGCTCCTGCTTTCCACAGGGCTTGAAATATTCCCCAAGCCCAAGGAACAGCTCCTGAGGGATGGGGCCAGTGGTCAAGGTGTTACCTCTAGGTGGCCCAGGTAGGATGCCATGTTCTCCTTCAGCGTGGCCACACTGGATGCCACACACTGGAACTTCTCTTCCAGGTCGTCATATTCCTTGTCCTCAGTCTGTCAGGAGAGAGGCAGCTTGTCACCAGCATGGGCAGGGCTGATGCCCATCACTGGGGGCTAAAACTGCAGCCTGGAGCTCACAGGGCAGGGTAGACCCTGGGGGGCTCCATGAATCTGGGAAGGAGTCAAAACATTGGCACAGGCAGCAACAAAGCTCTTGGTGTAGTTGTGGTGCTGGGGAACACTGGGGTGTCCTTGCTTTTCTGGGGGGCCCAAGGGTTCTGCAGGTCCTTTGGGGGCCGAAGTGCTGCCCTGCAATGCTCTGGGGTGGGCAGTGAGGTGTGTCCCTGCATCCCTGCATCCCTGCTATCCCACTGCTCCTTGGGATGATGGAGAACCAGGAGGCAGCAACAGCCACCCCACCCCAC